TCTTCGTGAACGCCGGGCAGGTGGTGACAGGCAGCCTGGCGCCCCACTTCCTGGCCCTGTGCCGGCCCAACTACACGGCGCTGGGCTGCCAGCAGCTCACGCAGTTCATCAGCGGCGAGGAGGCCTGCACGGGCGACCCCGAGCTCGTCCTCCGCGCCCGGAAGACCTTCCCGTCCAAGGAGGCGGCGCTCAGCGTCTACGCGGCCGTGTACCTGACGGTAAGTGTGGGCCTGACCGCAGCCCGGGCCCGGTCCCCGCGGGCAGGAGGGGCGCCTCCCCGCCCGCTGGAGCCCCAGGGGCAGCTTCCGTGGCCACTTCCCGTGTGTTTACAGAGCTGTTGGTTCCGGGAGTAGAATGAATAGTCCGTGGACTCCCGTGAGGTTTTGCGTGGGGAGCGGATTGTGTTAGAAAACACAGCCGCTCGCATCGCTGTTGGAGACGTGTTGGTCCCGTGGTAATAGGGCTGGATGGACATACTGTGTCCGGGGCGGCCAGTCCCCAGGAACCTGCAGGAGCGCCGCGAAGAGAGGTGGCCGGCTGCCTAGCTGCTTACTCACGCCCTCATGGTCTCTGGTGGGCGGGGGAAGGGGCCCTCCTTTTCCAGAACATTCTCTTGGGGGCGTTTGTAACGATAACGTGACATTGACTGAGCATTTACTATGTGCCAGGCACCACGTGCTGCACTGTGGCTAATTTATGCGCTACTGGTTCTCACGTGGGCATCGTCACAACCTATTCTTCCTTTATTATTATTAGTTACGTAAGAATCTGTCCTCTGTACTAACTCACCGGGCTCTCACAACAGCTCCCTGAAGCGTGTCCTATCATCACGCCCTTTACGATGGGGATAAACCACAAACTGTCCCCACGTCAGTGATGATTCAGAATGTTCCAGAGAGGGGAGCACTGCCTCCCTGAGCCCCCCGGGGGGGGGGGGTCAGGTGACCTTCCTCCTGCCCCTGCTGGTCCCAGGGCCCCTGAAGGTGGAGGCCCAGGGATCAGAGGGCAGACACCTTCAGAGAAGAAGCCTTTAGGAGCCCCCACACCCGGGAACCTTCAATAGCGGGGAGTCCACACGTCCGGGCTCCTGCCTGTAACTACACTGAAGGGAAGCGCTGCCTTTCAACAATAGGTGCTGCTCGGCGCTAAGGGCTCTTCTCTCGCCCGCCACCCTGAGCCATGGGCGTGTGGGAGGCTGCCATGGCAACCCGCCCGCCTCCCGCTGCCAGTGTGGGCATTACCGGCGGCTGTGCTGTTATATTTGAACCTACGTGCAGATATAGTTCTTCCCAGCGTCCCTAGCGACAGCTTGGGGGAACTTTGTAATAGACACATTGGGGTGTTTCAAGCATTTACGGGCTCAGAAAACGCTTGCCAGGAGTTTGATAAGTAGGTAAATAGCGGGGGGTTAGTAGATTCCGTGATGGCAGCGGGAACAGGCGTGCCCTGCGTTTAGGTAGCGCTGGCTCTGCTGCATGCGGTGCGGCGCTGTACACACACACACACACACACACACACACACACACACACGCGCGCGCGCGCGCGTGCACACACATGCGCGCACACAAGCGCACACGCACGCGCACACACACACACATACGCACACACACACGCCTTGGGAGGAGGAAATGAGCCCTGTGATGACGTGTGTGGGTAAGGACTGGGGGATGTTCTCCTGGTGTTTCTCCTTGTGGTTTAGTAAATAACATGAAGGAACTGGGTCTCTCCCTTAGCACCTGCTTTCCTGAAGGGTTTGGGGATAATTTGATCGCAGGCTTATTCTCTTTTACTTTCCTGAGACTTTTAGGGGGAAAAATCCCTATGCCTATTTCTGCAAATACAGTCGGTTTTCCAGGAGGGGAAAACATTCTGAAGGTTATTGAACCCTCCATCATTAAATTTGTAATTCAGTGTGAATGGCATTAGAATACTATTTAAGTTTAGCTTTGTGGTGTCTCTTTTCATATAAAATGGGTAAAGTTTATTCCCCGATTAAAGTAAAATGAACTTCAGCCCGGCCAGCGTGGCTCAGTGGTTGAGCACCAACCTATGAACCAGGAGGTCACGGTTCGATTCCCGGTCAAGGGCACCTGTCCAGGTTGTGGGGTTGATCCACAGTGTGGGGACATGAAGGAGGCAGCCGATCCATGATTCTCTCTCATCATGGATGTTTCTGTCTCTCTCTCTCCCTCTCACTTCTCTCTGAAATCAATAAAAATATATTAAAAAAGAAAAGGAAAAGGGGTGGATTGTACCTGGACTTTGCACAGGGCGCATTAGGAGGGCCGCTGAGAAGTGGGAGCCCCAGACGTTCCCGCCCAGTGCCCTGACAGCCAGGTGGCAGGGAGCTCAAACACCCAAAGTCATACGTGACGGCTGGGTTTTAATGGTACTTGGACTTTCAGTGAATCCATATTTTATTCCTTGACTCCTCATTTTTAATCTTACGTTCTGCACATCGTCGGCGATGTTAAAGAACTTTAAATGCTCTTAAAGGGACAGCTTCTAAGTTACCCTGACTGCCCTTACAGTGTGCAGTGCCTGGTACATGGTCACCCGGCCCAGCATGGCCGTGCTCTGCCGATGGGCGCTCCGGATTGCTAAGCTCCCAAAGCGGGCTTTCCCTCCTGGCCTGCCCTGACCAGGCGTGGACTCTCTCAGCACCTACAGGGGGTCCACAGAAAATCCCCCAAACCACTGATTCCCTTCGATGAAGTAAAATAGAAAAAGGCAGCTGGTACGATAACCGGCACATGAAAAAACAGGCTGTGATAAACTCTGAAAACTCGAAATAATTCCATGATACCACTCCATAAACATTCTGTGCTAGTTGAATCAGTAATATGTTTAATAGAGCAGATAGATATTTTAAAAAAAGATACAGAAAAGCATTGTTTGACAAAACACCAGTGTCCTAAAAATTGTTTCAATAATAATATAGTATTAAGTAGACCAGCTGGCCCAATGCTTTTTGAATATCAACAGATATAGTTTTCATTTCCTCTAAGTGAGAGGGCTCTTGGCTCGGTCAGCATCGTCCAACAGAATTAGGAAGTTCATGGTCCAGTAGAAGCCTAAAACGGACCGCATGTGTGGTTTTTAATTTCCTAGCAGTCACATTAAAAAATGCTTTGAAAAGTCAAAATTAATTTTAAGAATTTACTTTGACAGATTATATCCAAAAGATTATCATCTCGGCCGACATACGTCAGCATAAAAATATCAATGAGACATTGTGCATCCCGTTTCTTTACAAAGTTTTCTAAATGTGCAGCATTTCTGGGCCCTTCTGTTTGGGTTTTGTTTTAGCTACATTCTGACATCTGTTTAACCTAGATGGTTTCATAAGTGAATTAAAAGCCAAGAGAGCATAAATAATCAATTCCTGTCCCGTGTCCAACTCACTTACTCCATTCCTATGCCGTAATTTCCTCTTCTGTTCGTTAGGGTTAAACAGGCGTTCTCTAAAGATAACAGCATTAGACCCGCCAAACTGCGCCCAGGAAGCACCAAAGAGCTGCCCAGTATAAGGGAAAAATCCCGAATTTTCCTCTTGCATTTAGAGTTCTGACAGATGTGAAGAAATGCAAAACAAGAGCTCGTTAGCCTGGCTCTGTGGCTCCGTTGGCTGAACGGGTCCTGTGCACCAGGAGGTCCCCGGTTCCATTCCTATCTGGGCACATGCTCTGGCTTCCAGCCCCCCAGTGGGAGGCGTGCAGGAGGCAGACGGTGGTTGTTTCTCATCATCCATGTTTCTCTCTCTCTCCCCCTCCCTCTCTCTGTGAAACTCACTGGTCAGCCTCACCACTGTGTTAACGAAACTCCCACAGGCAGCCCAGTCTCCCTCCTGCCCACGTGCGCTAGCCGAGCGGGGAGCTGCGGCATTAGATGCGTCACTGAGACCGAGGTGGCGATGTCCTCGCCTTGCTATTCCTGTGGGCAGAGCTCTCAGGCTTCCTCTCAGGATGACAGCGTGGTCTTCTCCTTCTCGCCGCCTCCTGTGCCCCCTCCCGTGCCCTCGCCCCCAGGAAAGACTCAGCTCTCCCCAGGGCTGGCCTAGAGTACGGACCCACCATCAGAGGCCACAGGTCCAGATGCAGACCATCAGCCTTTGTTTTTTCCCTAGAGGATTGGTACCTGGGATCGATGGGCTACACGTTGGCGAGATAGAAGCTTTCTGTCACATGGGCTGTTAATATTCAGACAGCCTCTTCTGGCAGCCAACAGGGCTGCGAACGTTGCCCAGGAAAAAACAAAAAACAAAAACAACCAACAGTAAGAGAGAAGATGATTGCCGAATTTCACAGCCTTCTAAAATGGCTGCTAGGAACGGAAACGTTAAGCATTGACGTTCGTTTCCTCTCTTGGGCAAATGTTTTTACTTTTCTTGAAATGCAAAGTCAGAATGTCAAATAGTAACATTTGAAAGTAATAATGCTGACCGGGGATCGAACCCGCAACCTTGACATATCGGGATGACGCTCTAACCAACTGAGCCACCGGCCAGGGCAAGCAAACATGTATTTTATGCAACTCAGGACCATAGGCAAGTGTGTTGACCGGGGATCGAACCCGCAACCTTGACATATCGGGATGACGCTCTAACCAACTGAGCAACCGGCCAGGGCAAGCAAACATGTTTTTTATGCAACTCAGGACCATAGGCAAGTGTGCTTCTGAGTCTGTATGATCAGTATCAGCCACTACTGACACCAACACCCTAAAAACATATTGAAATGTCAGAGCATCTCGTTTATAATCATCTCACCATGACTTGAATAATAACTGACCCCTCCCCTTGCAGTCAGCGGATTGGTTTCCATAGTAACACGAGTTAAAGGATGAGCACTTGTGCTACAGAATCCACCTGATTAGGGGAAGGGCCGAGTTTTTCCTGAGAGTCGTGTTGGCCACTGGAGGACATGCCACTCACTACAATCAGCTGACACGTTCTTCTTGCATATGTAACACACCAGAGATGTGCACACCTGCTCACTGTTTTACATATGTGAACACACCAAAGATGTGCACACCCGCTCACTGTTTTACATATGTGAACACACCAGAGCTGTACACACCTGCTCACTGTTTTACATATGTGAACACACCAGAGCTGTACACACCTGCTCACTGTTTTACATATGTGAACACACCAAAGATGTGCACACCCGCTCACTGTTTTACATATGTGAACACACCAAAGATGTGCACACCCGCTCACTGTTTTACATATGTGAACACACCAAAGATGTGCACACCCGCTCACTGTTTTACATATGTGAACACACCAAAGATGTGCACACCCGCTCACTGTTTTACATACGTGAACACACCAGAGCTGTACACACCTGCTCACTGTTTTACACATGTGAACACACCAAAGATCTACACACCTGCTCACTGTTTTGCACACATGAACACACCAAAGACGTGTGTGTCTGCTCATTGTTTTGCATATGTGAACACACCAAAGATGGACACATCTGCTCATCATTTAGCATACGTGAACACACCAAAGATGTATGCATTTGCTCACTGTTTTGTTTTGTTTTTAGCTGAC